TGCCAATCCCTGAACTAGAGCAACATGTATTAAGATGGGTAAATTTCAAACATAGTGTTGTATGAAAATAGCAAATTGCACAATAGCACATATTGTATAGAGGTTGAAACAATGCAAAGTACATCCATATATTATTTATAGATGTTTACATATGTAGTAATATAAAATGTGTATAAAAATCCTAACCGTGAAATACATGGTAGTGGTTACCATAGTAGAGGGAGGGAGGGAAATAGGAGTAGGGAGGTTATAGAGGGAGCTTCAACAGTGTCTATGATATTCTGTTTCTTTAACAGATGTGTAACAAGTAAAAATGTTAGGATTTTATATGTGACTGGGTAGTGGGTACATGAACATTGTATTATTTATACCTTTTTGAACATTTAAAATATTTCATAATTTAAAAATTGGATAATTTGATCTCACCTGATGTGTTATGACAGTTGGTAAGATTTTAATGAGAATGTTCTGAATATTTTGTTTTCTAACACACATTTTTTTAAGTATTTTGTGTTAAATTGATAGAAATGGAAGATTTCATACACTTTAATTTTACCCAGGAATATTATTTATATGTAAAATTGGTTGACAGAAAGGCATGTAAGGATGACTAAAATGAAAAGCATGAGACTTTTTAGGTTTAGAATATCAGGAAAACTGAGGCCTGAGCTAAGATGTGCCATAAAAACTAAGGACAGTAGCCTTGTCCAGTGATGTATGCCTGTAGTTCAGCTATTTAGGAGACCAGGGTGGGAGGATCACTTGGGCCCAGGAGTTCAAGTTCAGCCTGGGCAACATAGCAAGACCCTTCTGTACTAAATGCATACATACATACATACAGCTAAGGATAATAAAAGCCCTTTGCTCAAGATACACAGACATTTACAAAGAAACATTTGGGCCAGGCATGATGGCCTACACCCATAATCCCAGCACTTTGTAAAGCTGAGGCTGAAGGATTGCTTGAAGCCAGAAGTTCAAAGCAGCCTGGGCAACAAAGTATGACTCTGTCTCTACAAAAAATTTAAAAGAAAAAAATTAGCTGGGCATTGTGGCATATGCCTGTTGTCCTAGCTACTCAGGAGGCTGAGGCGAGAGAATTGCTTGAGCTCCCGAGTTCAAGGCTGCAGTGAGCTGTGATGGTGCCATTGCACTCCAGCCTGAGAAACAGAGTGAGACCCTGTTTCTAAAACTAATAATGAAATGTTTGACCCATGACATAGTGTAAATGGTATAATTTTTTAAATAAGCAAAGAAAAATGGAACTAGATAGTATATATTATGAAGGAAAGGGTACAATTGAGTGCATTAGTTTCACTGTCAGCTCTGTCACTAACTAGCTGTGTAATCTTGCCTAGGTAATTTTAACTTTTCTGGACCTAGTTTCCTTAAGTATAATGTGAAACAGTTAGCTTGAATCTCATTAGACCTTTTCACCCCTGATTCAGTGGTTTGTTGACTCCTATTTTCAATCCATTGTTTCTATCAAGAAAAATCTTTCAACATAAAAAAATAAAATGAACAGCTAGTAAGCATCACCTAGCCACTTTGGTTCGTCTCTTTAAGCCAGGGGTTCACATCTCTACTCCAGATGTATTGAACTCTGTACTTTGGTCCTTCAAATAGACCAGTCTCTTATTTGGCTCCCCCCTTTTCTCCCCCGCCCCCCAACCCCCACTCTCCATCTTTAGGTTTGTTCCTTGTTGAGAGTTTAGATGCTGCTTTCTCCAGGAAGCCTTCCTAGAGTTGCTTGGGCAAATGGGTGGATGTTGGAGCCTCTCATTGAATTAGTCAACACTGGAGAACAGCTTTTGTGGAGAAAACTGATGTTTTACTTTGTAAAATCCAATCAAGTGTCAGTTGAACATTCAAGTAGAGATGTGTAATAGGTTGTTGAGTATACAAATCTGGAGATTAGGAACAAGATCTAGGTTGAGAGTATAGTTGTAGGAGTTATCAGTTTATAAATGGTAATTCAAACTGTAGAGTATATGAAATGAGCTAGAGGGGAGAGTGTAGATTGAGAAGAGAAGAAAATACTGAATCAAATCCTGAAGAAAACCCATGTTTAAGGGAGAATGAAGGGACAAGAGAAGACTGAAGAGTAACCTGTGAGTTTAGAGAAAAACTAGAAAAGCAAGGCACTCATGGAAGCCAAGCATATCAAGTAGGATGAGGGCAATAAAGAGTGTTCACAGGATTTAACAACAAATAAGTCATTGGTGATCTTGACAAAACACTTCTCCTGCCCTGAGACCAAGTTTCGCTCTGTTGCCCAGGCTGGAGTGCAGTGGCATGGTCTCGGCTCACTGCAACCTCCGCCTCTCAGGTTTAAGCTATTCTCCTGCCTCAGCCTCCGGAGCAGCTGGAATTACAGGGTGTGTACCACCACGCCCAACTTTTTTTTTTTTTTTTTTAAATAGAGACGGGTTTCACCATGTTGGCCAGGCTAGTCTCGAACTTCTGACCTCGTGATCCGCCCGCCTCAGCCTCCCAAAGTGCTGGGGTTACAGGCATGAGCCCCCACGCCCAACCAACAAAAACACTTTCAATGGATTAGTGGATGAGGCTGTCAGATGATAGCAGGTTGAGGGGCTGATTGGCAACAGTGCCTGTAGTCAGTTAAAGAAGCTTTGCTATTAAAGGGTGAGGTGAGAATGTGGGAGATCTTTGAGGGAGGTTATGTAATGCTTATGGAAAGGAGCTTGGAAAGAAGAGGTTGTAGATACAGAAACCAGGGCAGTTAGTTGATGGAACTCAGTTATTAGGGATATTGGGATTCCAGATGGAAGGTAATCCAGATGGAATACCTTTAGTCATGAAGGAGTTGTGACAGAAGGAAATGAGGTAAACAAAGGTGTGGGTGCAGCTGACTTGTCATTTTGGGGCCAAGAAATGAAATGCTTTCCAATTTAATGAATTTTTCTCCTCATTGAAGGCAAAAGTAGTTATCTACTGAAAGTGAAGAGGAGTGGTAAAGTAGTATTTTTGCTAAGTGAAAAGGGTTTGAAATCATTACTGTGAAGAATAGGAGAGAGAATGACCTTGAAGAATAAAGAGAGATTGCTGACTAAAAACAGGTGTTTAAGGTGGAGACCACATACCAGTGGTGCCTTCTGCATAGCTATGTAATTTGGTATATTCACTCAGGCACCTCACTTTCAGCTGAGATTGGAAGCCTGAGAGTTGGTATAGAGAAGGTGACAGTTGGTTTATTCAAGGTTGCTGTGTGCTCACTAGATGTGACAGAAGAAATATGGGACAAGTGTGTTGAGGAAGTTGGCAAGAAAATGGCCAAAGAGATTAACCATGAAGTCTCGACCAGGAGTTGGCAGATTATAGCCTACAGGCCAAATCTGGCCCACCACCCGTGTTGGTTGTTTTTGGTGGTTTTGGGTTTTTTTTTATCTCTTATATTTTAGATGTTTAAATACCTACATAATATCCATACTATGCCTCTTAGCCCACATAACCTATTAATAAAAATATTTACTATTTCACACTTCAGGAAAAGGTTTGCTGACCCCTTATCTAGACTAAAATAGGATTGGACTAACAGGTAGAGAATAGAAAGGGCCTTAAAGTCTCAGTAAGATCCAAATATTAGGTATATTGGAAGCACCTGAGTGAGAGACCTGGGAAGGATAGAGGTGGTGAGATAGGATTGTGAGTTAAAGACTTCAGATCTGGGGAAGCTGTAACCCCAGGTCTAGCTGTGGCCACAGTAGTGGGTAGCTGGAGCAGAGGTGGGCCTGTCCGTGGAGTTGATAGCAAGGAACTAACAGCCTGAGTGGAGACAGTCAAGTTGCCCAGGGGCTGGAGGAAGGGAAGGCTGATGGCCAGCCATTCACATTTCCAATTTGGGATAGGAGAGTTAATATAAATAACAATCAAATATATTCAGTCCTTAAAAGTGTGGGAAACCTGACAGGAAGGCTGATCATTAATTTTTTTTTTTTTTAAGACCTGGAGCCGCGGTGTAGAAGGGGTTGCTAGTGAATAAGGAGGCTTGTGTGTGTTAGGTGGCCTTAGTAAATGGTACCAAACCATGTAAAGCAGAGCCAGCAGAACTTGGGACATTGAACCAAAACCAATTTCTGATGCTTCCAGCTGCCTTACTGGTGATTCATTTAGGAGAACGTGGCTTTCCTTTGTTACTGTAGTTTTTGAAAGCAGTACTAGCGTGAGTTTGTGGTTACAGACTTCACCTTTCCTTCAGTGCTCCATGCACATAATCAGAATGACTTTCCTTCGTCACCCGCAAGTTATTCTTACAACTGGATGGCAGGGTCGTTGAAGAAGAACTTCCTCATAAATCACCTTCAAGTCCTTTCTAATCCAGATTCTGTGATAATACAAGTATGATGCAGTTTTCACTAAAAGCTAAAAAAAAAACAAAGCCCATCTAATCAGAGATGATTTTCACCTCTAATTTCTTAATACCTCTGTTGCAGGCACTTATAGGGCTGCAAAAATGAGTGGTACCCGTTGATATTGTGCTGTTATCCATATCTTCTTTAGCCAGTATTTCTTCATATGTGGGAAAGTAGTAGCCTCAGTTTTACTTTTTACTTTTTTTTTTTTTTTTTTTTAATTTAGAGTCTTGCTATGTTGCTCAGGCTGATCTCGAACTCCTGGGTTCAAGTGATCCTCCTTCTCAGCTTCCTGAGTAGCTGGGACTATAGGCTTGTGCCACCATGCCCAGTTTACTTTTTTATATTTCTGCCTTATTTTATCCTCATGTCAGGACCACAGATAGAGCATTGTTATCCACCAACATGAATCTGTCATGGCATAAAACAGTCAAGAAGTCTAAGTGAAACCTTGACTGGACCGTCTTTGGGCTTGTGTGGTAATGCCTCATGTGCAATGAATTCTCAACAAATGTTTTTTAAATTGAATTGGAATCTTCCATTTCTATAGTAGCACATTTTGTACCTTTAGGCAAAACTTGATTTTAATGTGTTGTTTTCGTATGTGTTTGCTTGTTTCTTGAGTAGCTGATGGATTTACAACTGAGTGACAGTAACTTTCGTCGACACATCCTGTTGCAGTATCTCATTTTATTCCAATATCTCAAGGGGCAGGTCAAATTCAAAAGGTAAGATAATATGGGTAGTAAATAATTTGTAAACAGTAGCCAAGAAAAAAAAGGACTTGCTTATGATTTTTCTTTTGTATTGTGTCCATTTCATGTTAAGGTTGTATCCCTAAAACACATGTATTGCAGCTGATATATTGAAGGCTTTTAGATATTAGGATTAAGGAAAAGATGTTAAATATATCTGTCAGTGTGAGTTTTTCCTGCCCCAAGTCCAGGGCTTACCAGGAGTTGTCGTCTTTATTGGCAGGTGGAGGTCTCTGCTCCAAACTTTCATCATTCCCTTCTCACCTCCCTCAGACCTCCTCCAAAGCGGATTTGTAGACTAAGCCAGTAATACATATCTCACAAGGTGTGGAGCTGTGTAGGACATTCAAGCTAAAAGATGCAAATAAAATATTTAAGCAAAAAGGAGTTCATTTCTTTGGGGTTTCACAAAACCTTATTAGGCTCTCTACTGTCTATCTAAATCCCTCCATCCATTTCCTCCTGTCCTGTCCATAACTGAAGGTGGAGCCCACTGCTACTTAACGGTATTTGTGTTAAGGACACTGAGCAATGCAGTATTAGTTGTATAATGACTTTACTACCTGCTGGGTTTGAATCCCAGGCTCATCATTTGCTGGCTGCAGTGCAGCTCTTTCAGACTTGTCATTTTAAGGTAGTAGCACATGGTAAACACTAAAAAAAAGTTATTTCTTATCCTTCTATCTATTTTTGCAGTTTGCTATAGCATTGTAGGAAGATCAGGGACTTTGGAGTGAGACGTAGGTTTGAATTAAAGCTTTATGGCCTTGGGCAAATCATTGAGCCACTGTAGTCTGTGTTTAATATGTACATGTACTTGTTCCAAGAATTCAGTAAATAATGTATGTAAAGTGTTCAGATCCTAGCCATCAATATTTATTGGATGTCTTTAAATCACCTAGTGCATTGTGAGAGTTCAGTTAGTGGAGGCTATTAACAATTTGGGTTTGCCTGTTGCCTTTTCTAGGGTTTGGGTGTTTTTATTCGTTGTGTTTTGAATGAACCTTAAAGGAATGTAGCATGCCATACTGAATGTGCATCATGTATACAAATATCTTAATATCAAATCAGAGGTTTTCATTTCACACTCAGCTTATTTTAGGAAACATTTATTGCTCTGTTCATAGTGAATCCGATTGATTAATTGAATGTTTTATTCCCTGTATATGTTTTTATGTCTTTAGTACCAACCCTCTTGAGGAAGAAGTGCAAGAATTTTCTCTTATAATCCTTTCATTTGTGACTATTCTTATCTTGGTAATTTTTGACACTATCCACAGTATAGTTACATGTTACATGCCTTGTGTTTTTTAAAGCTTAAAATTGGATATGCATTGCTGTAACTCAAGCATGCTTTCATTGCTTTGTTCCCTAGTTCAAACTATGTTTTAACTGATGAACAATCACTTTGGATTGAAGATACTACAAAATCAGTTTATCAAGTAAGTTCAACACGCAACAAACCCATGATTGAAAAAATGGAAATTTAGGATTTTCTTTGTTTCAGCCCCAAATAGGAAAATAAGGATAAAGTTAAGCTCAGGTACAAGACCACAAACACTCCTTGGTTCTCTGCCTACAAACCACTCCTATGATGCAGAAAGTTGTTGAAAGCTTAGTATATTCTTTCTAATCACAGCTACTATCTGAAAACCCCCCCGATGGAGAAAGATTTTCAAAGATGGTAGAGGTATGTGTTTTTTATGTTTACATCCTCTTCTTAGCACGAAACAGAATTTCAGAGGATTCCATTAACCAAAATGTAATCTCTGTTTTTCCCAGCATATATTAAACACTGAAGAAAACTGGAACTCATGGAAAAATGAAGGTTGCCCAAGTTTTGTGAAAGAAAGGTAAATACACACTCATCACGATGAGAAAAGCTTTTGAAAATATGCTCCGATACGACTATAGCATGTAAAGATACATGTATATATTTCATATAAAAAATGTAAGTCGAACTCTGTAAGAGTACAACCACTTTGATTTACCTCTGTATTTTTTTTACCTCATAAATTTCTTGTCATTAAATTCCTGGAAAAAACATCTATATTATTGAGAAGAATACTGTATATCTACTCCATGTGATTTGCCCTGTAATGTGGCATTTTTGTCTTATATCTGATAATTGTTCTATCATAATATGAAGTTTTCATCTTTTTTTTTTTTTTTGAGATGGAGTCTCTATCACTCAGGCTGGAATGCAGTGGCGCGATCTCAGCTCACTGTAGCCTCCGCCTCTTGGGTTCAAGCGATTCTCATGTGTCAGCCTCCCGAGTTGCTGGGATTGCAGGCACCTACCACCATGTCTGGCTAATTTTTGTATTTTTGTAGAGACAGGGTTTCACCATGTTGGCCAGGCTGGTCTCGAACTTCTGATATCAGGTGATCCACCTACCTCAGCCCATCAAAGTGCTGGGATTACAGGCATGAACCACCATGCCCAGCCAGTTTTCATCTTTCTTAAGAGGAAAACAATAAATTTTATTTTACATTAAACATTCTTCTATTTCTGCTATCCATTTGTAATTCAAAAAATAGTGTATGTTTTTTTTCACCACAGAACATCAGATACCAAACCTACGAGAATAATTCGGAAGAGAACAGCACCCGAGGACTTCCTAGGGAAAGGACCCAGCAAAAAAATTCTGATGGGAAAGTAGGTGAACTTGTCTTCATGTGGAATGTTCTTATTTTTATATTTTGAAGATGTTACTATAAGAACTCTCCATCCAAAATATAATATGAATTTGTGTTTGGTACACACATAGATAGCCAGAGCAAACCGCACTCTCTATACTGCCCATTATGTAGGTTCATGCACCAGATAAAACCTTCATTTTGTCTCCAGCTTCCAAAATCTGTGTCTCTCGGCTGTGCCGTTTTTTCCGTTTCAGACAGTAGGATTGTTTAGATTGATGAAGCTCACTTCTAGTTGTTGCAAGGTACCATAATCCTTGAGTTCTCTTACCTTCTACTTAACTAATCATTGCTTTAGATTGTGCTTGAATATTTTTAGAAAAAACTAAAGATTATTCAATTATCATTAGTCATAATTAATGATTATATGTTCATATAGAGAATAATTTTAGGTATTTTAAATACCAAAAATTATTGAGAAAAGTAAAACTCATACTATCAACATCCCCAAATCCACTATGTACATTGTATTGTTTTTCTGTTCAGTTTCAAAGCACATAAGGATGGTGTCCATAAAAAACGTATTTATTTCTGTGTCTGTTTTGTAGTGAGGAGTTAACAAGGCTTTGGAATCTTTGTCCTGATAATATGGAAGCCTGTAAATCAGAGACAAGGCAAGTTGAACATTTTTCAAATGAAGTGTTGCTTTTACCAAGTTGAGTAGAATGGAGCCTTTTCTCAGCTATGATCAGAGCTCAAACGAAATTTAAAAGTTTATTGTGGTTGACTCTTGGCACAGCAGAGTATAACTTCCCACCATAAAACTCCTCGAAGTGCTGATAAAATAATTTTAGAAATCACAAAAGGAATCAAAACTACAAACAGAAGAGTAAGCCTATGAACAGAATATCGTTCTAGGGCAGCAGTACTAATGATTCCCAGCTTTGGGAACCAGGGAACTTGGGTTTTGTGTTTTGTTTTTTTTTTGAGACGGAGTCTCACTCTGTCACCCAGGCTCGAGTGCAGTGGCGCGATCTCGGCTCACTTCAAGCTCCTCCTCCTGGGTTCACGCCATTCTTCTGCCTCAGCCTCCCGAGTAGCTGGGACTACAGGCTCCCGCCACCACGCCCGACTAATTTTTTGTATTTTTAGTAGAGATGGGGTTTCACCGTGTTATCCAGGATGGTCTCAATCTCCTGACCTTGTGATCTGCCTGCCTCAGCCTCCCAGAGTGCTTGGATTCCAGGCGTGAGCCACCGCACCCAGCCGAACTTGGGTTTTAATAGTCACAAAAGGACAGAAAGGCCTTAGGCCTGCATGAATTTGTGAGCGAGTTTCCCCTGTACAAAGCTGAAATTGTTGAAGCACTACGCATCTGTAAAAGAAGGGCAGGGCGGGGATATGCTCCCTGGCACAGGAAACAAGCTTATCGGTTTTTACCAACACATAGGTTACAGGAAAAAGTATTCCCTGAGAAATTGTCCCATAAGTCTGCTCTCTTGCAGTCTTACAGTTTAAATTTTTCCTACCAGCAATGTAAAGGAACCCTCAAGCTAAGACAGTGAACTAGAAAGTCCCATGCTGGCAATAAAAATCTTTCTGAAGGTCACCCCTTCAACCCAAACTAAACAAGATTCCCACAGATAAAAATCTAAAGATTATATTCACAAGGTTGTTAAAAAAAAATAAAACCCAAAGATAAGTTCACCATCCAAACTTACAAAACTTTCAGGGAAATAGTCCACCATGAGCAAGATTGGCAAACAGAACAAGCAACAGAAGTTGGCCACTTTAGATAATAAAACCATAAGATAAAGGCTGTAAAAAAAGTATATTTCAGAAAATTAAGACAAAATAAGAAGGAATTGAAAACACAGGAATATGGCACTATCAAAAAGGACTAGGCAGACTTGAAAAACAAGTAATACTTCTAGAAACGAAAAAATATAGTCACTGAACTTGCAAAATGGCCAGGTTTAATAGCAGTCTAGACATAGGTAAAGTAAGAATTAATGGGTTAATTAATGATTGAGAAATCACCCAGAAAGCAATACAGAAGGAGCAGAGTTAGAAACGATGACTTAATGATAGTTGAGGAAGTCCAGCAAACATCTAATGGCAGAAAGAAATAATAGCGAATGGGAAAGAGGCAATAATTGAGTTAATTATTAAGAATAGGCATTAATTCATAGGTTCAAGAAGTATAATACTTAAGGAGGATAAACCAAATAAATCCATATCTCTGTACATGATAATAAAGTCACCAGAGAGAAAAAACAACCTACAGAGGAGCACAGTTAAACTAACAGTTGACTTCAAGAATAACCAAAGAAATCAGAAGACAGTGGGATGAGTGTTTGAAAATGTCTTTCGCATTCTCTGTTATTTCTTCTGCCATTAGATGTTTGCTGGACCTCCTCAACTATCATTAACTCATTGTTTCCAACTCTTGCTCCTTCTGTATTGCTTTCTGGGTGATTTCTCAATCATTAATCCATTAATTCTTGCTTTTCCTATGTCTAGTCTGCTATTAAACCTGCCCATTTTGTAAATTCAATGAGTATATTTTCTCATTTCTAGAAGTATTACTTTTTCAACATTCAACTCAGAAATTCTGTAACAAGTTAAACAGTTGTGGTTAATTGAGTGATTGACTAAAACTATGAGAAACTATCAACAGTCCCTAGTGAAAAAGCTGTCTTAAGGAAACTGAACCCAGAAAGAAGTAAACTGCAGAAAGGATTACTGTGTAGACACTTTGGTAAACATGAAGAAATCTGAATAAATCTTATCAAGAATTCATTGTATAAAATAGTAATAATTATTATTTAGAGTTATTTTAAAAGGTAAACTTGCTAAAAGTGACAGGTAAGACAAGAAGGGGTGGTCAGAATTAAAGAATGTTATGGTTAAGTCAAACATGCTTGTAAAGTATGTGAAAGAAATGGAATATGTAATTTTTAAATAAATTGAGGGGTAAAAAAGGTAAATACAGAAAATTTAAGCAAGTAAATAGAAAGTAGGAGAGGAGGAAAAAAGCTCAGAAAACACAACACAAAGTACAAAACAGTATGGTTAAATTCAAATATAAATGGAAATGGACTTTCTGGCTCAAAGACAGAAATTGGTGTTATATTTTAAGGATCCATCGGCCAGGCGCGGTGGCTCACACCTGTAATCCCAGCACTTTGAGAGGCCTAGGCAGGCGGATCATGAGGTTAGGAGATCGAGACCATCCTGGCTAACACGGTGAAACCCCGTCTCTACTAAAAATACAAAAAAATAGCCGGGCGTGGTGGTGGGCGCCTGTAGTCCCAGCACCTTGGGAGGCTGAGGCAGAAGAATGGTGTGAACCCAGAAGGCGGAGTTTGCAGTGAGCCGAGATTGCGCCCACTGCACTCCAGCCTGGGCAACAGAATGAGACTCCGTCTCAAAAAAAAAAAAAAAAGATCCATCTAATCCATCTATATGTTTATAAGAAATATACCTTAAAAATAAAGATATGGAAGGGTTGAAACTGAAAGAACTTTTAAAAGATGTAAATTTTAAAAGGCATAGTTATATTCGGATCAGGCAGAAAAGACTTAAAAGCAGAAAGCATTATTAAAAATAAAGGCAATCATTGCATAAAGATAAAAGGAAAAAAATAGAAATACACACATTTTAAACTTTATTTTCTAAGAATGTGTTCTCAAAAATTTGACAAAATTAGAATGAGAAGTTGACCCAGGTCAGTTGTCACCATCCACCACCCAGAAAACCCACCATCTAGTAGGATTTTGACAGACCTTTCTCAGAATTTAATAAATTTTGGTGGAAAAAACTTAGTGTAATACATTTAGAATTTAACAAAATAATTAACAGGCTTGGTCTTACAGAAACCACAAGTTTTTGTAAATTACATGTGAATAACAAAAGCAAAAATACTTAAAACTGCTTTAAACACACTTCTAAATAATCCTTGAATCAAAGAATAAATCATAATGGAAATTAGAAAATGTAGGGCCAAATGACAATGAAAACACTACATGTTCAGACTTTGAGATCTAACGTAGTAGAACACAGAAGAGAAATGTACAGCCTTAAGTGTTTACACTTTCAAAAAGAATGAAATTAAAAACCAAGCTAAGTAAGAGTCTAACACTGAGAGTCATTCAGAAGAAAAGTAAACGTATAGAAGTAGAAAGTAAAAGAAGATTAGAAATCAGTAAAAATAGCCAACAAACAATGGAGAAGATCAACAAAATCAAAAGATTTTTTTTAAGACCAAGAAAAATAGATAAAATTCTAGCACAATTGATAAATAAAATTAGATTCCTACCAAATCTATGAGAGTAAATCAATCCAGTAGAAAAACGGACAAAGGAAGAGTCAGATTCAGAAGTAGAAACCTTAATAAACCTCTGAGAAGATGCTGAACTTCACTAGTAACTGGAAGTACAGTTAAAAACTACAGCGGGCAGTTTCACAGCTAAGAGATTCAGTAATTTAAAAATACCCAGATTCTATAAGAATTATGGATAAAAATAATTTGCCAGTGCTGCTGGTGGGAGTCTGATGGCACAACCACTCTTATCTGAATGTTAAAGATGTCTGTGCCCCGCTAGTAGGTGTGTTGATCAGAATAGTGTTTTTAAAAACTAAGTTTGAGGCTGGGCGCGGTGGCTCAAGCCTGTAATCCCAGCACTTTGGGAAGCCGAGACGGGTGGATCACGAGGTCAGGAGATCTATCCTGGCTAACACGGTGAAACCCCGTCTCTACTAAAAAATACAAAAAACTAGCCAGGCGAGGTGGCGGGCGCCTGTAGTCCCAGCTACTTGGAGGCTGAGGCAGGAGAATGGCGTGAACCTGGGAGGCGGAGCTTGCAGTGAGCTGAGATCCGGCCACTGCACTCCAGCCTGGGTGACAGAGCGAGACTCCGTCTCAAAAAAAAAAAAAGCAAAAAAAAAAAAAAACTAAGTTTGAGAATCATTGGTGGTTTGTAAAGTCAGTTTAGTAATTTAAACTAGCATTTTTTAAATGAAATAGGAAATGTACTTTTGTGAAACATTAGCTTTACTTATATCTATGGTACATATACTTGCATATATGTGTGTACTGGGTTGCAATGTAAAATGAGTTTCTTACTGTGGGTTGCAGTGGAAGTTTGAAGGCCCAGTGCCTAAAGAAATCTGTTCATCTACAAGGAGACAGGTGCAAGAATGTCCCTTTAACATTGTCAGAGCAAAGAGTGGGAAGACAACTTAAATATCTCTGGATAGGACATGGATAACTTGTGGCATGTTCATAAAATGGAATATAGTATCTATAGCATTAGGAAACGAATGGATATTGGGATAATTTTTTTTAGAGAGCCCATTTTCCTAGTTTTATTCTAGAAGATGTCTTCTGATCCTGAGATCTCATTTCTTTGCTTGTCCCTGTATAAAAATTTTATTTCTAAAAACAAATTCAAGAAAGATGCATTTTAAAAATCAACAATGCTACCATGGTAACAATTTAAATAAGAGCTAAAGGTTAAACCCTTGAAATCGTATTATGGTCTGATTATTAGCTTTGGTCTAATTCTGGTTTAAAGAAAAAATAATTCATGGATGGGGACGTCATGTAAAAGTTTCTTATTTGCTGGTAAAATTCAAATGCTATAAAATCCCCTGGCTGCCCTCTTTGAATAGCAACATATTCATATATTATGGTGTGTAATTAAAGTATACAATATATGTAGTAAATACTATATAATATTGTTTAGTATTAGACTATCCCCTCTTTATTGTCCTTTCTGAATTTAGTTTTGAGGATTTTAGTTCCTTAAAAGTCTGAGTTCCCAAGTAATCAAAACTGTAACTAAAAGTATGGGGCCATTAGAATCTTGTCTTGTCACTACTTTATGAGTATTTATTATTAAGAATATTTGTGATCCTCACTAGTTATTTTATACTGCTCAGGGAATACATGCCCACTTTGGAGGAATTCTTTGAAGAAGCCATTGAACAGGCAGACCCTGAAAATATGGTTGAAAATGAATATAAGTAAGTAATGTTTCTCATTAGCTCATTTTAATTTTATTCGATTTGTTTTTTCCTTAGGAATTATGTGTATACTAGAAAACTTATTAAGAGAGGCAGTGGATAGAGTAGTGCTTTTTCTCTTAGGGGAGTTCCTGTTAGGACACATCCTGATTTCAGGTATTCCTGTTAACTAAGCATGACTTGGAATCACCCTTGTTTCAAAATATAAGAAAAAAAAAAACTCCCCCGGCCCCCATTACTCTCCAACTATTAGTTCTTTTCTCTCTACCCTTCAAAGCACAGTATCTCACAGCAGCTCTTAACCTATCCTGTTCCCCTTAGATAATGTTTTCTTCTCTTGGTGTCCATGAGAAGCCAAATCCATGGTTCTTCTGTTTGCCCTTTGCCCTCGCTGCCCACTCCACCTCACATTCCATTTCAGCCTCCTCATCCTCTGCCTAACTCAAATGTTGGAGTAACATCAGGACTCAGTCTTAGCCTCTTTATCTAGAACCTTCTGGGTGACACCACAGTCTCATGGCTTTCAATAGGAATTGAAGAGTAGTGGTTTAAAGGCAAGAGGCCTCTTGTCAGAATGCATAGGTTCTAGTCCCCTCTACCACTTATTTATTAGATGACTAAGGCTAATTTAATAATTGAATCGCCATCCTCCCTTTCCTCATCTGTTAAATAGTAACAGTACCCATTTCACAGGGTTATTCTGAGGATTAAATAAGACAGTTCACTTTCAACCATACAGGGCAGGTAGTTAGCACTCAATATTCGTTACTAGTGTGACCCTGTGCCCAGAGTTGTTAATTACTGTGACCTCTGTGACCTCTTCACTGTTTTCTCTAGCAGTGGTCAGTGCTCCATGTATCAGCCAGTGATCTTTAAAATAACTGTCCAAGTCTGATCTGCTTAAAATCTTCCAGTGAGTGCCTGTTCCAAAGTCCCTCCCAGGGTCTAAAAACCTCCTTGGTCTGGCTTATACTGTCCTGTGTAGCTATGCCTTCCCTCTGCTCTAACCACAGCAGGCCTGGTGCTCTTCACTTCAAACGTCTTTCCCTTTCCCGTCAGGACCTTCACACTTTACTGTCTCACTTGCTTGAACCACTTTTCCCCCAAGGTTCCCATGGCTTTAAGTCCCCCTGGAAGCTCTTCCCCTCCCTGGTCTCCTCTTTTGCATTCTCGTGGTTTTTATTTCATGGCACTTACCACTATCCAAATGAGAAGGTGGCACTCACCACCTTCTCATTTCTCGTTTTCCTCATCCTTATGAAATTATCTTATACCTTGTGTGTTTATCACTAGCGATGCCTGCCAACACATTCTGCATTACTGTGCCTCAGGTACTCTCCACAGCTACTGAGTGCCTGGCTCAAGTGTTTGTCAATTGAAAGACTATTTATCACTGTTACATAAGACTAGGTGGACTCATTCCTAAAGTGATAGTTCAAATTATTATCTTGAAAGAGGGTTTTGTGGAGAATAAGAAAAATGATATATATAATTGACAGTGAATTTTGAACATGCCTAAAATAATCAAATCGTTTAAACAGAGATATGTCAGAAAGAAGGCTCTTAAGTGTTCAGGCAAAGCCTCACAGCAGGTGTTGACTTGGGAAGAGTCCTCAATGTCTAGGGGTAGTTTTTGTTAAGTCTTCAGTGGTACCTGCACATCCTAAAGGTAACACACGCTCATTTATAAGAGATGACCAAATAAACCAAATTGCTATTCTTAGGGGAGGGAGAGACTTCCAATCCAAAACTCTTAAATGGAATAAATTGGTGGTTTGGTTTCTTCTGCAGCATTGTGTATTTCTGGAGCATTATCTTGAGAATTTCTCTGCAGTTTCTGTTTCTCACCTGATTGTATACCACCTTGATCATTGTTACATACTTCATTAGGGAACAGTTCATGGATTCCGAATAGCCAGATGGATGATTCCTGTTGTATACATACTGCATCTAGCCAGTACTGCACACACTTGTTGACTTGTTAAAATTAAACAAAATGTACGAACTTTGAAAATGTGTTTGCTGCATATGAGCCTGCCTCTTCAGACATTGTTGGTTCCTGTTATTAGTTATGTGTGTATCTGTTGATTTGTTATCATCAGTGGACAACATCCCGAAAAGTTCTTTAGGAATAAGATTCGAATGAAAAGAATGGTACTTTGAGCTATTTACCTTAAATATAGAATTGCACATGGCAGAACTAAGCAGAAGGGAATACAGAAATACAAAACTATAAATTACAAGCCTGACATCTCTTTTTATAGGGCTGTGAACAATTCAAATTATGGTTGGAGAGCCCTGAGACTATTAGCACGGAGAAGCCCTCACTTCTTCCAGCCAACCAACCAGCAGTTTAAAAGTTTACCAGAATATCTTGAAAACATGGTAATAAAGCTAGCCAAGGAATTACCGGTAAGTACCATAGATCAACTTTTCATGCCCTTTAGTTGACATCATCTTTAAAACTGCTATCACTATGTGAGCAAAAAACTGACTTAATCATGTGAAAAACCAGTGGTCCACAAGCTCCCATGTTTTAGAATGAGGGAAAAACACACTGGAATATACATTTACAGGAAATACATGAGTTGATAAAGAAGTAACTGATAATTTTCTGTACAGCATGTAATTTAACTGAGGTTCAACAGGGCTGGGCGCGGTGGTTCACGCCTGTAATCCCGGCACTTTGGGAGGCCTAGGCAGGCAGATCATGAGGTCAGGAGATTGAGACCATCCTGGCCAACATGGTGAAACCCCGTCTCTACTAAAATATAAAAAATTAGCCAGGCGTGGTGGCAGGTGCCTGTAGTCCCAGCTGCTGAAGAGGCTGAGGCAAGGGAATTGCTTGAACCCAGGAGGCAGAGGTTGCAGTGAGCCAAGATTGTGCCACTGCCCTCCAGCCTGGTGACAGAGCAAGACTCCATCTCAAAAAAGTATATAAAATTCATGGTACTTTAGGTAAACTGTTATGCACCTATACACACAGACAGGAATTTTTTCCTGTTTGCCAATGCAGTATATTGTCTTTTATCAAAGGTAAAAGATAAGAATCAGAAACTTTTAAGGACACTGTTGCTACTGGCTTCCTTGAGGCCGTCTTTACTAAACCCTGGGTATTTGCAAATCCTGGAACTGTGCTTTTCACGGCCTTCCTGCTTCCCAGATTGGGGGTGGGGAGTCTTTCCAACTCTGGGGTCTTACCAAGTTCACTCCTTCTGCATGGGAAGACAGTCCCAGTTAGGATCCTTACCTGACACTGTCTAACGCTCTCAGGGGTGAGGTTCTGGCACCCTGTACTTGGAATCTCACAATCATCATCTAAACAAAGTACTTGTTACCGTACTTCAGAGGCTGGCATTCTTTCAAACATTCTTCTTTCTCATTTTTAGCCTCCTTCTGAAGAAATAAAAACAGGTGAGGATGAAGATGAGGAAGATAATGATGCTTTACTGAAGGAAAATGAAAGTAAGAATTTAATTTTCTTGGTTATTTAACAAAATTGAAGAAGATTGGGGTTCTTTGTTGATAGGTACATTATTTAATCGGCTTCTCAACTTCTCCCATTTTATCTCAACTGTTTCTGACTTACAGTGAGGAATTTAAAACATTGCTTAATAATAACTAAAAATACTACATTTTATGCAATAAAATTGGGGAGTAATGATACTTTAAAAGGGAAGGAAAATACATTTGAAGGTGACCCATACCTTTGTTAATTATTGGTTATTGGAAGGGGAACAGTTCATTTCAGGGAAAGCCTACATAATTTTAACAGAGGTAACAACTTTAGCTTTGATTATTGACCATGCTTATTAAGAGTGGTATTCAGCTTATGGAGAATATAAAAAATAATTGTTTGCTTTTAAAATAAAGTCTACTAAAGGTGGTTAATAAAACTCATTGGCCCCATAGCTTTCCATTTCTGTTGTATACTTAGAATTGCACATAATTTATATTCTCTTCGTTTTCTAGGTCCTGATGTTCGGCGAGACAAACCTGTAACAGGAGAACAAATAGAGGTATTTGCCAACAAGCTGGGTGAACAATGGAAGATTCTGGCTCCCTACTTGGAAATGAAAGACTCAGAAATTAGGCAGATTGAGTGTGACAGTGAAGACATGAAGATGAGAGCTAAGCAGCTCCTGGTTGCCTGGCAAGATCAAGAGGGAGTTCATGCAACACCTGAGAATCTGATTAATGCACTGAATAAGTCTGGATTAAGTGACCTTGCAGAAAGTCTAACTAATGACAATGAGACAAATAGTTAGCTTCTTTTTTTTCTTTTTATTAAAACTGTGATAGATTTTGTTACCAAGCAGCATTTGATAAGAGGTCCACTGGTTTTGGTAAACAATAAACATTTTTATAACAATTGTTGTACAGTCGGCTGGTGCTCTAAGAACAATAGAACACATATTGGCTCAAACCAGAGTTTGGGGAGGTTGGGAGGAGGGTGGGTTGAGATAATGACCTAAACGAAGTGACCCTCACAGAATCTATTTTTGTTAAGTAGATGTATTTATAATGAAGTTAAATAAGCATTATTTAGGGATATGTTGTTTCCTATACCAAATTAGTTTCCTGTATGCTGTTAGTAGTTACAAAATTTAGCTATCCTGGAATCCCAGAATAACACTTTCTGAAACCGTATGACTGCTCTGTTCTTATTCGTGCTTTCAAGCAGAGGATCAACAAATGATGGTTTGTTCTGCCTGCCACGAGTCTTGATCGTTAAAATTGTACTGGCACCCAGCTGTGCTCACTCCTAACTGTCCATGGCTCCAGCTACACTATAACAGCAAAGGTAAGGAGCTGCAACACTTCATAGCCTGCAAAGCCTGAAATAATTTACTATCTATCTGTCTTGTCCATTACAGAAAATGTTTGCCAACTTTAAAAGAAATGAAGTCTGAAACCTCACTTTTCCTTCTAGCCTTACAAAAATTGCCTGACCTCTCAAGACTTTTAATCACTTCAGGGATTCTTGTGACATTCAAATGAGATGTATGTGAAAGCACCCTATACACAGCAAAGCACTAAGTAGTAGTAGCAGAAGACAGTACCACCGCCTTTTCCTGTTCCCATTTCCCTTTAGGGCTCTAAGATGAGGTCATCATTGTTTTTAATCCTGAAGAAGGGCTACTGAGTGCAGATTATTCTGTAAATGCGCTTACTTGGGCCTAATTTCTAGCTAGTGAAGCAGTGATCTAGCACAGCTCTAATGCTGAGATGGCCTTGGTGTGAGTGGCACAGCATATAAGGCACATTCAGGAATCAAGACTTTTTTTTTTTTTTTGCTGCCTATTCTCCCTTCTCAAAGACCTTACAGGCAAGGCTGAATTCTAAAATAGCCTTATTAGTTTAAAACGACACTGGTATAACTCCCATTTCTACTTGAAAAAATTCTTTGGAATAATGCTTTTGTAGATCAAATAAAATGAAATCAAACTTTTTATAATAAGGAATTACAATTTTTAAAATTCTAATATATTCCATACAAGGCTTATATACTTTGCTCTAAACCTAGCTCACCTGGTCTAGTAGCTACAGCATCTAGTAGCTACAGTCAGAAAATCTAAATTCTAATTGTTAAATTCATGTCCTCAATAAAATTGTTCTGACTGAATGAGATAATGAATAAAAAAGACTGCAAAGTTACAAGCATCATACAAATATACATGAATCATTATAATTCTTATGGTCTCCTCCTCCCCATTGTATTCTTAATCCCCTCCACGAAGTAGAAAGTATTGATTGCCAAGTTAAAGTTTAGGTGAGGAAGCTATTTACAAATAAGTTTCCCTGCAATGCTTATTTTATCCCCCCTAGTGTTCACAGATTACATCACATCAGATTTGAAAGTAAAATGGCTGTTTTCTATTTTTAATAGTTATCATCAGTGTTGTGCTCTGCAGAGCATTCAAACAACATACACAAAGAAAGATATGAGATGTTATGATAATCCCCAAACTTTATTACAAATAACTCAAAATTAGAGCCAAACTGGCTGGTATTCTATGCTTTATCCTTTCCCTAGCAATCAGCCAAGGGTCCTGGAACAAAGATGAGTAACTAATGTATTAAAATGTAAGAAGCCTATCATATTGAAATACCTCATATGCTTGGTATTTTCTACTATCACCTTAAAATCACTAAAATTCTGAAATAGACATTAAGATTTGGGGATTTTTTTTTTTTTTTTTTTTTTGAGAGAGTCTCTCTGTCACCCAGGCTACAGTGCAGTGGTGTGATCTCAGCTCACTGCAACTTCTGCCTTCCGGGTTCAAGCAATTCTCCGACCTCAGCCTCCCAAGTAGCTGGGATTACAGGTGTGCACCACCACGCCCGGCTAATTTTTGTATTATTAGTAGAGACAGGGTTTCACCATGTGGCCAGGCTGGTCTCAATCTCAGCCTCGAGTGATCCACCTGCCTTGGCCTCCCAAAGTGCTGGGATTAGAGGCGTGAGCCACCACGCCCAGCCAAAGTTTGGGGAATTAGGAAATACAAACACCAACTGAGCCAAGGAACAAATCTGACTGATAACATCACTGCATTTGGCATCCAAAGAAATCCATTACTTTTACAACTTTGTATTATTTCTTTGTAAAATACAGGCAGGCAAAGAAGATAACAAATATTTTCAAATGGATGCTTGACAGCACAGTGTTAATAACCATCTTCAGAAACTGTACAGCATTAAACATATCTGAATCTTCAGCCAAGCTCCAACACTCAGAAGACAAAAGACTTGAGGTCAAAAGCTATTAATCCCCCCTTTTTTATTTATTATTATTAAATGTCCTCATTTTCTAAAAGTAAGCAACCAGAGCTTGTCAACATTTTCTTAAGATGGATTATTACAAAGCCATTCCAAAGTTAAATGTACAATCCACAGTACATCAGAGAGAGACACAATAATAAATGTATAACCAAATGTACTATTACTGATCACAATTTATTTTAAAGTCATGAAAAGCCTGCAACAGGCTGGACAAATACTTGATTGTGCCCATGTTTCCATGGGATGGACAGCAGCACTGAGTTACACAATGAGAGCAAAACTTCCTTTTCCACCTTCCTGGAAAAATGTTTGTTAGATAAGGCAAAGGATGGGTGGCTATAGAATGGTGGTTCGAACCATGCAAGAACAACAAATAATAGGTAATAGGTGTGCAATAAACATCTGATTGCTGAATCTTGGGTGAAAAAGGCAGCAAGAAAAATGACCACAGAAAGAAATGGTTGAAAGGCATTTCAACTCAGAATTTTTAAAAATAATGCAAGAAATAATAAGCTTTTAAAAAATGTCTTTCTGCCACCCTTATATAGGGCAGCACAATCCAAAGATAATTTTCTCTTTTCTGTAATTTTTTAGGTTGATGCACAGAGTGGTCTGCTTCTGTCCTCTTTTGTTTCAAACGAGGGGAAACAGATAAAACCACCTATGTGTCTTCCTCTAAAGCTCTGGATTATAGAAATGATCAACAAATAACATTTATTTTCACACCTAAGCATAAATAGCTAAAATGAAGACTACTATTCACTTTCCTCTTCCATTATTTCAACTCTGCGAGGCCCATAGAGTAGAACGTAAGCAATATGCCAGTCTCCACCACCAGAAAGCCGTAAGATATCTTCTGGTGTTACGATGCTGACTTTGTCATCATCAAACTTAATCCATTCATCTAAATAACAGGGAGAAGATGAATTAATGTTATGCAGGATTCTTCTCTGAGTTCCACTGCAAAAAAGGTATAGCGTCATCGGAGGCACAGCAGTGCTCCACTGGCCACACCAACAGTCCTCCAAATGCGGCCCAGTGACCACACAGGCTTAAGGGCACTGCAGGGGTTCCACCAGGTTACAACTACTTCAATGACACCACTACAGCACTGCTTGCCTTTTCCACCTGCATTCTCTCAAGTGTGCTCTGGAATTTTCCAGAGGCTACATAATGTATGATAATGCAACAGACTGAATGCAAACACTAACAGGAGAACCCAGCTGCCTCCTATTTAAGCCAGACAACAGAAAGACATAAAAATGTAAATCAGTACCATTTCTCACTCACTTTGTTTTTACATTAATACGTAATGGGCTTATTACTATCATTTTTAAAACTAATTTTTTTAATTTCTCACTTTTAATTTTTAACACAGTAAATATTAAGAGGCAAACCTCATAAACCAAAGCTCTTTGGGGCTTCAAGAATGTGAAGTGGTTCTGAGACCCAAAGTTTGAAAACCACTGCTATAAAATAAATGAACTGTTAAAATAATACTGAACAGTTGAAAAAAGAATACTCATTACCTTGTTTCCTTTTCACCCATGATACATAATGACCTGAAGAACTAGACCTTCCCTGGTGTGTTAGTACTGCTTGTAAGTCATAGTATCCACAATTATTGGAGCCAATATCTAAAAAAAAGATGTAAATCCATTAATATTAGACAATGAATAGATATGTGCCTCCTCAAGTAACAATCAATAACTCTAAAGTTCACATTAGGAAAGTATTATATTATCAGAATCCAATAAGATACTACTGTCCAAATCCCAGCACTTTAGGAGGCCAAGGCGGGCAGATCACAAGGTCAGGAGATCGAGACCATCCTGGCTAACACGGTAAAACTCCGTCTCTACTAAAAATACAAAAAATTAGCCGGGCTTGGTGGCGGGCGCCTGTAGTCCCAGCTACTCGGGAGGCTGAGACAGGAGAATGGCATGAACCCGGGAGGCGGAGCTTACAGTGAGCCGAGATCACTAGATTCCACTCCAGCCTGGGCAACAGAGTGAGACTCCATCTCAAAAAAAAAAAAAAACCAAAAAGATACTATTGTGCAATCATAGTTAGGGCTTCATAATTGATGTTTTAAGAAGTAACTTACTCATAAAACTGTATGCCAACAAGAGTAAATTTACTATATGTCATACTAAGGTAAATTGTTCAAGAAACCTGACATTTTGTTTGAAAAGGACATCAGAATAAGTAAATATGGGGTAAGACATAAATTTTACCTTAAAAAGACACACAGACAATAACTCAAAATGAAAATGTTACTTACCATCAGCAAAAGAAAAGGGTTCATACTTAACTTCTTTCTGGGGACTACTCTTTTTGTCACTCTGAGGAGAAAAAAATGTTTAAATGATGATTTTGGAAATAAAATTTGAATTCTCTGTAAGTGTTCAATTTCATAAATATTTACTGTCTACAGTGCAGAGACAAAATAGTCTACCTTTCAAATTACTAAAACGATATAACTACAGTTAAAACTGTAAACCCAGCAGTCCTACACTTTAACAATATAAAATCTTGTTACAGTACAGTAGCAGACACCCTGAACATGATGACCAATTTTAAACCACTAAAGTGAGAGCATACCAGTGAATACACAGTACAGTTCAACAGTGCTCTAGGGCAGAAAAGGAAAACCCAATTTCCCAATGTTACCAAAATCCTATCAAACCACAGCGGTGGGGGGAAAAAACTGCCTCTGTAACAAGAGAAGTTAAATTCCTGTAGTTTGCATTAAACCACCCGAGCCCTGCCCACTCGCCACGCCAGCACAAATAAACTGAAATATTTTTCAGCAAAGCCTTACCTATATTAAAGAGGCATGATTTAAATTAGACAAGGACTCTTAGTAGGAACTCACTGCTTCAAGTCATTTTAGCATGGAACATGAGAAAAATTTATCTAGGTATACAGCACAAAGTTCTTTAAAACTATAATGGTAATGAAGACAATGCCAGTAGCTTACAGGTAGCTGTGATGGCAAGAAGTCAAAGGATTCCACAACAAAAAATGGCAACTAGGTTAATCACATGTTTTTTATATAGAGAATGAAAACACCTACAGCAACCACTGAAAAAACTATACAAAGCAGCACATTTAAAAACATTGTACAGGATACTAAAACACAGTTCAACTAACCCACAAGAAGACAAAAAAAAAAAAAAGCAAAACATCAAAAAAGCAGAATTAAACCCTAACGTCAATGATTGCACTAAATGTAAATAGTCTATACCTAAATCACATTTAAATTTAATATAATTTAGGCCAGGTACAGTGGCTCACGCCGAGGCGGGCAGATCACTTGAGGTCAGGAGCTCAAGACCAGCCTGGCCAACATGATGAAACCCTGTGTCTAATAAAAATACAAAGATTAGCCAGGCATGGTGGCAGTCGCCTGTAATCTCAGCTACTCGGGCGGCTGAGGCACAAGAATTGCTTGAACCCAGGAGGCAGAGGTTGCAGTGAGCCGAGATCATACCTATGCACTCCAGCCTGGGCAACAGAGCAAGACTGTCTCAAATAAATAAATACATGTGATAGAATTTAAATCAAGTAAGTGTGCCCTCTCTCCACAATGGCATCAAACTAGAATCAACAGAAACATAACAGGAAAATTACTTAGGCCCTTCTAAATAATCCATGGTCAAAGAGCAAGTCTCGAGAAATTTTTAAAAATACAAAGAACAGAATGAAAATAATATATATCAAAATTCATAGGATATAGTGAAACCACTGCTGAAAGGGAAATTTATATCACAAGGCAAGCAGAATAAAGGAAATAAGAGCAGAAATCAATACAATTAAAAACAGAAAATAGAGAAAAATCCATGAAACAAAGCCAATTCTTTGACGAGATCAATAAAATAATCCTCAAGCAAGGGGGACAAACACAAATTACAAATATCAGCAATGAAATGGGATGGATCTCACTCACTAAACATCCTACAGACATCAAAAGGGTAATAAATACTAGAAACAACTCTACATACAAATTTGATAAGCTTATGAAATGGATCAATTCTGGGAAAACAAATTACAGAAATAAATACAATATGAAATAGATCATTTGAACAGCCCTGTATCTATGAAGGAAATTAAATTTGAAATGTAAAAACTCCTGAAAATATGCTTGCCTATGTTTAGGCAATAGAAAAAAATAAAAATAAAAATAAAATAAACAAATAAAAGCTCCTGAAAGTAAAATATCTAAGCATAGATTGTTCCACCAATTCTATGAAATGATCACCAATTCTATCAAATGTTTAAAAAAAATTAACACCAAATCTACATACTCTCTTCAAAACACTAACGGATAAAAACAGCTAATAAATTCAGCAAAGTCAAGGATTTAAGATCTATATACAAAAATTCATTTTATTTCTATACGCTAGCTTTACTAGCCACTCTAGACAATGAAATTAAGAAAGGAATGCCATTTACAAAAGCATCAAAAAGAATAAACTATTTAGGAATAAAATTAACCAAAAAAGTCCAAGGCTTGTACACTGAAAACTAAAAAACATTATGAAAAAAAATTAAAGACCTAAATGAATAGAAAGACACATGAAGTTTACGGATTGTAAGACTTAATACTTTTTATTTTTTGAGACAGAGTCTTACTCGGTCACCCAGACTGGAGTGCAGTGGCGCCATTTTGGCTCACTACGACCTCCGTTTCCCATGCTCAAGTGATCCTCCCACCTTAGCCTTCTGAACAGCTGGGACTACAGGCACACGCCACCAAGCCTGGCTAATTTTTGTATTTTTTGTAGAGACAGGGTTCCGCCATGTTGCCCAGGCTGGTCTCAAACTCCTGGGCTCAAGGAATCTGCCCACCTTGGCCTCCTAAAGTATCTTAATACTATTAAGATGGTAATACTTTTTAATTGATCCACAGATTCAATGTAATCCCCATCAATCTTTTTTTAAGAAATGGACAAGCTGATCCTAAAATATACATGGAAATGCAAGGGACTCAGAATAGCTAAAATAACTTTCAAAAAGAAGAACAAAAGTGAAGGTTGATACTTCACAATTTCAAGCCTTATTAGAAGACTACAGTAATCAAGACAGTCTGGTATGAGCATTAGAACAGACATATAGACCAATGGAATAAAATTAATAGTCTAGAAATACAGTCATACATACAGATGGTCAAATTAATCTCTACGAAGGTTTCAAGACCATCTGATAGGCAAACAACAGTCTTCTTAAAAAATGGTGCTGAGACAACCAGATATTCACATGCGAAAGAATAAATCTGAACCCACACCTCACACTATATAAAAAGTTAACCCTCAATGGATCAAAGACCTACATGGAAGAACTAAAACCACAGAACTCTGAGAAAAAAACACACATATAAATCTCTGAGGCCTTGAACTAGGAAACTTTTTTTTTTTTGAGATGGAGTCTCGCTTTGTCACCCAGATTGGAGTGCAGTGGCGTGATCTCAGCTCACAACCTCTGCCTCCCAGGTTCAAGCGATTCTCCTGCCTCAGCCTCCCAAGTAGCTGGGATTATAGGTCCGCACCACCACACCCGGCTAATTTTTTGTATTTTTAGTAGAGACAGGGTTTCACCATGTTTGCAAGGCTGGTCTCAAACCCCTGACCTCAAGTGATCTGCCTGCCTTGGCCTCTCAAAGTGCTGGGATTACAGGTGAGAGCCACCGCGCCGAGCCCGGCAATGCTTTCTCAGATATGACACCAATAGCACAGGCAACCAAATAAAAAAATAGACTGGATTTCATAAAAATTTACATAACCTTTCCTCTGCAAAAGACCCTACGTTAAGAGGATGAAAACATAAGCTACAGGCTAGGAGAAAATATTCACAAACCACATATCCAACAAAGGTCTAGAATATGGAGAACTCTCAAAATTCAAGAGTAAAAAAAAACAAACAGTCCAATTAGAAAATAGGGAAAAGACAAGAAGCAGCATTTCACAAAAGAGGATATATATACAGATAGCAAACACATGAAGACATGCTCAACTTCATCAGTCACTAGGGAAGTGCAAAGGAAAACACAGTATTACTATAAACCTATCCAATGGCTGAAATGAAAAACAGTGACACCACCAAATGCTGGTGAGAATGCAGAGAAAGTGAATCGGTCACACCTTGCTGGTGGAAATGTGAAATGGTACAGCCACTCTAGAAAATATTTGGCAGTTTCTTGAAAAACTAAACATGCAACTACCACGCAATCTAACAATTGCATTCCTAGGCATTCATTCCAGAGAAATGGAACTTACGTTTACATTAAAACCTGTACACAAATGTTTACAGCAGGTTTATTCATCACAGACAAAAACTAGAAACAATCCAGGTGTTCTTCAGCAGGTGAATGGTGAAGCCGATTGTGGTAAACTCAAACCAGGGAATACTGATCAGCAATGAAATGGAAGGAGCGACCAATATGCATAACACCCTGGAAGAATCTCCAGAGAATTATGCTGAGTGAGAAAGGTTATATTAAAGAGTGGAAGAGTTTTTACTTCGTTTGTGTTTTTTTTTAGAAACAGGGTCTTGCTTTGTTATGCAGGTTGGAGTACTGTGGCACAATCATGGTTCATTACAGCATTTAACTCTTGGCCTAAAGCAATCCTCTCATCTCAGCCTCCCAAGTAGCTGGAACTACCTGTGTATGCCACCACATCCAGCTGATTTTTTTAAATTTTCATATTTTGTAGAGACAGGGTTTCACTATGTTGCCCAGGACAGTCTCGAACTCCTGGCCTAAAGTGATCCTCCTGCCTCAGATTCTCAAAGTCCTGGGATTACTAGCGCTAGCCACCATGCCTGGCCAACTTTCTTGAAATGACAAAATTATAGAAATGAACAGGTTGGTAGTTGTCAGGAATTAAGGGTAGGGCAGAAGAAAAGTGGCCCTGTGGCAATTACGCAAGATCTTTGTGGTGATGGAAATGTACTGTATTTTGATTGTATCAAGGTCAACACTAGGTAAGGTTTTATGCGAAGTACTTTGAGGAGATAAGTATAAACGGAATATGAGCTACAGATTATGGGGGGAAAGAAAATACTAAGCTTATTCTACCACAAAGGACTCATTTACTCTAAGTAGAGTTCCTGTTTCTCATGCTAAAATACACCTAAAGGCCACTCTGGGAGGCCTAGGCAGGCAGATCACCTGAGCTCAGGAGTTCAAGACCAGTCTGAGCAACATGGCAAAACCCTGTCTCTATCAAAAATACAAAAAATTAGCTGGGCATGGTGGTGCATGCCTTGGTCCCAGTTACTTGGGAGGGTGAGGTGGGAGGATCATTTGAGCCTGGGAGGTTGAGACTGCAGTGAACCTGGGTGACAAAAGGAGACACTGTCTCAAAAATAGAAAAAAAAAGGAAAATAAAACAAAACACATGCAAAACTTTAAAGACCTGCACCGATATGTGGAGGATGTGTATACCTGCTAATTGTAATACAGATTCATCCATTTTTATTAATACTATACAAAGTATAGTTCTGAAGGAAAAATGAAGCAGGAAAAAAAAGAGAGTAATTGCTGAGCACTGATGGGAGATTAAGATACTAAGATTAGAAAGTCAGCAGTAAGAACCTACTGTATTTGGCTGCTGATTCACTTTTTTATCTTCTAGATCCTTGAATTTGGATCGAAAAGACACCATTTTCTCCTGAAGTTCTGGTGTACACAGTTCATACATATCCAACATAAGAGGAAATTTAACATCCTATATACAAACAAAAAACATGTGTAAACACATTTATAAAGATACTTAACGTATCACACATCTGAAGTAATGCTTTCATAATTCAAATACAGTTGAAAATAAAAATCTGTGAAAATCACTTGGAAATCTGCAGTTGAAAACCTCTTAAGAATGCCTATTTTCAAGAATGATCTGGTTCTAACTTTTTTAAGGTGAGAAATTTTCAAAACATGTTTTTCCATTAAATACTCTAACCCACAAAACTAACCACAGAGGAAGTACCAAAATTTACCTGAAAGAAGAAACATCTCAGAAATATTAGACAAGCTGCTGTGAAAATAATGGATCTCCCAAACTGGAATAAACTTATTTTTTTTTTTTTTAGTTTGAAATACAACTTTACATAGAAATAATAGTGATATAGTTCAATAGCTTATAGTAGTATATATTTAAAGTATACAACACTAGATACTTAAAGTACATTTAACCTTCTCTTCTCATACAATGCTAAGTATATTGGAAAATATACTAAGAATTTAAGCTCAAAAGGCTAAAATGATAGGCCCCTCCTGGGACTCTATGGAGATGTAGCAGAACTACAACTCAACAAAAACAGCTGGATTCTGAGGCTGGATCCTAAATCAAGGGATTACAATTTAAGTACTCTTTGGGCACCAATGATTTTCTCCTTTCACCTGAAAGAAAGGAACCACCTAGAATATAGTGCAGAGTGTTATCACTCCCTACCTCAGGCCCTTCTCCAAGCTACTGAATCAGTATCCCTGAAGCTGAGGATGTGGTCTAGGGCACTATTTCTGCGTAGTGCAGGAGAGTCATCAGAATTATATGTGAATCTTTTGAAAAATATAATATCCTAGGCCCCACCAAAGACCCAGATGTTTGGGGGTGAGGGAGAAGCCAGGCGTGTGTACAATTAAATATAAAAAAAAAATAGATCATTCTAATACACGTTCACAGTTAAGAATCACCTGTCTAATATTAATATCTCCCCTAAATATTTCAAAGAACCTAACTATTCCTAAAGGAATAATGAAAGCAATTGTAAGTTAGCAATTACCTTCAAAGAATTACATTTCTTATACAAAGTAAAGTTCATTACTAACCTTAAGAACTTTGGCATTCACAGATTCCTTCTCTTTATAAAAAAATCGAACCATCTGAATGGTCAAGTAAGCAGGTAGCCGGCTGATCTTGGACTAAGGAGAGAAAATGGAAAGAAATCCCATTACATCAAAATACCATACAAGTTTTAATTCTTCAGTGGTAAAAATTAAGACTGGATAAAATTAATTAACTGGAAATATTTCAATGAAGTGGAATTTGGCTTCGAAAGGAATGCATAACTTACAGATTTGATATACAAGGCATTTCTTTGCAATGTTGGAGACTGTTTGGTGATTTCTTCCTGAAGTCGCTAAAAAAGAACATAACAGAAGACCAAACATTAGTTTAAAACATTTCTGCAATATAGAATCACACCACTAAGCCTTTTAAAAACTAGCACTACTTAATAGGCAATATACAGTATATCAATGGGTTTATACCACTGAAACACAATATGATGACAATATGGGAAGACTTCCAGATACTGTTCAATTCTTATAAGGCATCAAATAATTTACGCTGTTGTGGACTCCTCCCGAGTGTAAATACTGTTTGATGTTTTTTAGTTATGCCCCAAATGATGCTTAGATTCAGAGAATTTTATATTGTATTTTATATAACAAAGCTCTGTCATTCCTGTTTATTATCAGAATATTCACCCTAGAGGAAAATTAAGAGAACCCAGGAAACTCTTGTTCTTTACATTTTATGCATAAAAGCCAATAAGCACCGATCAATTGTTAAATTTGAAAAAAGTCATAACACAGAAACCCTCTGTTAACCTAACAGATGTGGGAAAGCCTTTAGCTACTGCACATATCTTAACCAGCATGATCACCTTTCCACTTCTTATAGCCTGTGTAACAATGAAAACGGTATTTATCCCTCTGGGCATCATTTGGAAAAGGTGGTAGTGGTAATCTATGTTATAGTGCTATTGTTAGAATTACAGTCAGCACATGTAGAAAACCTGGTAAAATATTTGGCATATACTCTACATTTAACAGTCACTACTATTTCTAATGTTATAGAAAAAATTAGCACTATTTATGTGCTCTGCTTTAAGAAAATAAAGAAAAAAGAAATTAGAATTAAAATAACCTACTGGTAATGTTTAAGCATGTTACACTTGTATAATAATTTTTTAACATCTGATTTTTTAAAATTACTAATCATTACAAAGGGAATCACTGTGGAGTAGCTTTTTAAGTTTATTCAGCAGCAAAGCAGTAGAGAAACGAAGCCAAATTACTCAAGAATTATCAGAACAAAAGATAAAACATCTTAAAAGTTATAAAGGAAGTAAATACATTTTAGGAATACATGTTTTTCAAGAAAGTATATGTGGTGAAATCTTAATATTATCACCAATACACTATCATCTAGACCTTCTGGGTACGTTCGGTTTTCCTATACTTTTACAAAATTGTGAAGAAAATACCATTCCGGAGAGTCCCTCCCAAAGCACTCCACTCCACACTCTCCGATGAACACTGAGACTTCATTTGCTGGCAAATCCTGAAACTTGCACATCATGCCTTACATGGTTTGACTCCTGGGGGTTAAGTACTTTTGTGTTTTTAAATGAATTTCTCTTAACAGTCACCATGTTCTTATCCACACTGCTGCAAAACTCTCCCCTCAGTATCATAAGACAGAACATGACCCACTCTCTCTTCTTATGTCCATTTACCAACCCTTCCCCTGCCAAACTTACCCCAAACTGTAGATGACAGCCCCCAGACAACAAATCATCTTGTTTATCAACATAATCCAGGTCCCGCTTCAGTGTTTATCAACCCAACCCCTCTGCCCAAACTAGGCCTCTGCACAGAGGACCTATTCCAATGCCTCATCATTTTTCACTGACTTTTCTTCCTTCAAGACTTCCGGTTAGAGGAGACAGAGAAGAGGATCAACCAAAATTTTTAAATATTCTGCCCTCCAGGCCCTTCTTCAAATATCTAGATGCTGCAACAGCTCTTTTATTCATGATTTACTTTTCATACAACTGTGTTTAGGAAGAAGCTAACTTAAATTAAAATAAACAATCCTGGCTGGGCGGTGGCTCATGCCTGTAATCCCAACACTTTGGGAGGCCGAGGCGGGCGGATCATGTCAGGAGATTGAGACCATCCAGGCTAACATGGTGAAACCGTATCTCTACTAAAAATACCAAAAATTAGCCAGGCGTGGTGGCTATACTTGGTATTTTTGTATACCAAATATAGTCCCAGCTACTTGGGAGGCTAAAGCAGGAGAATTGCTTGAACCTGGGAGTCAGAGGTTGCAGTGAGCGAGATTGCGCCACTGTACTCCAGCCTGGGTGACAGAGAGAGACTCCATCTCAAAAAAAAAAAAGAAAAAAAAGAAAAAAAAAAAAGAAATAAAATAAAATAATCCTAATTATCAGAGATTTTGAAAGTGAAATCACATGAACTGCAATTTGAAAACTATTAAAAGATAGCACTTCAAATGGGGAGATCCTTCAAGAGATATACATATCCCCAAAGCATACCAAATTAGTAAGTCAGCAAGCAAAACCATATGTTTTATCCATGGACTTATCAGCAGAGTGGAAGCCAACATTTTATGTGAGTCTGCATTCTTTAGTACGGCACTGGAAAAGCAGCACTAACTGAATAACGAAAGAAGCGAGTTCTAGTTCTGGCTCTGCCAAAAGCCAATTAGGTTATTTAAATTCCAGGGCCTCAACTGCAAGACAGTGCAATGGCAGAACAACTACATGCCCTGATTTGCACAAAAAAAATCCCAGTTTACACTGCATAATTACTAACATACCCTCATTCACTCTCCACCAAAGTGTCCTAGTTCAGACAATACATTATATGATCACCCTTAATGGTTAAGAGCACAAATCCACAAACAACCCTATAGTTACTCTCATTTTCATGTAAGAAAACAGAAGCTTAGATTAAGTAATTTTCCTTAAAGTTAATAGTTCAACTAAGTTATTGGGCCCATGAAAACAACTAACTCTAAGGAGAAATTAAATCTTAACATGTATATTATTCAACAAACATTTCTTGAGTGCTTTAAAATAAAGCAAGGTACAGCACAAAGCACTAGGTGCTTCTTCAGTGTGAAGCAGGAACATCCAGTGATTAAAAAGTGAGATGTCCCAATATTTGTTAGCATATGCAACCATGTTAATAATGCTTTTGTTTATGAAATGAAAAGCTAGTTGAAGTTTGTTTGATTTCTGACTACACAGTTGATTTTGGTAGTGACAGTAATTATGTTCTACAAAGTCACCACAAGCACTGAATCAGTGAATACTGAACCACTGCTCCTAGGGGAAATACAGGATTAGATTCCGCCAACATTTGATCACAAGATTTTCATCAACCAATCAATATATAACCTTGTTTTATGTGTGTTTCTGTTTAAAGACACCTTATTTCACATACTGTGTTGATTAAATAACATTGAACTCAGAGCCAACAGCACAACTCAGGCCCAACTGAAGCTTCTCTAACATGTGTATTTTCTCAGTAAGGCACATCACAGCCTTCCCACACTTAGAAACACTAGACAGCACTCAGTCCTATGCTTGGCGGGTCATCTTAAACAGTGAAATAACCAATAAAAAGCAGAAATTAAAAAAAAAAAACCGGTGCTAACATTCCTGCTAAAATGGTATTTGTTTACCAAGCTGAAACAAGATGGCCAAGTACTTGTTTGACCTCAGATGAGACTGTGTGTATTGGGCAACTCAAAATGCATGTTGCTCTGCACATGTCTACAAATGATCATTAAAGCCCAGCGAATAATGACTTTGGCTTACTTGCGAATGTGGAATTCACAAACAACAAGGATGGACTGTGATTGTCCTTACCAATTTAAGTCCTGTAAAAAGATACTTGACTTCCTGATTGATAAAACAGCTAAGCTGAAGTTGATTTTCCTTTCCTTTAGTGACTTCTTCTTCTTCAGATTCTGTACATTTCATGCTTTGTAAACTAAGATAAGGAATATGCCAACGGGTATTCAATTTGTTATATACTCTTGAATATAATACATTATCCTAATTCCATTAAAATTAATAGTATCATTCATTGGCATTTAAAACATTTTAGTCTCCCAATAAAGATTCATTTCAACATACTTAAGAATGTTCATTTGGCTACCAACAATTCTATAAACAACAATGAGTAATAAATGTGTATTAAAAGATAAACTGCAATAAACTCTGAACTATAAACTGGTATTTAGTGTGGTCTTATAATGGTCTTAGAAGCCCAAAGGTACATAATTTTTTTCTAAGATTTTCTAACCATGACCTAGAAAACAGTACTTTCCTGATTCATGTTTTATTAACTGGTTCAATCTCATGTATATAGTTGATACACACCATTTTATACAATTAAAAAATTCTTTATTTTAAAAGTTATTATTAACAGTCACCTTGACATATAAGAAATTAATTCTTTATAAGGTGAATGAAAATGAGGTAGACTCTGCTAAAGATGTTCTTAGGAAAAAATAATAAATATCCTTCAAGAAATAAATTAGAATAATTATATTAATCAAAACATAATGAATAATCCCATTATCCTTCAAGGTCACTCCAATAGGTATACTTTTCCAAATTCCTCATTTCCATTACTGTATTTTTTTAGGCATAAAAACCTTTGGGCTGGGCGCAGTGGCTCACACCGGGAGGCCAAGGTGGGTAGATCACCTGAAGTCAGGAGTTCCATACTAGCCTGGCCAAGAGGGTGAAACCCCCCCTCTACTAAAAATACAAAAAATTAACTGGGCGTGGTGGCATGCGCCTGTAATCCCAGCTACTTGGGAGGCTGAGGCAGAATTGTTTGAACCCAGGAGGCAGAGGTTGCAGTGAGCCAAGATCGCACCATAGCACTCCAGCCTGGGCGACAAGAGCGAAACTCTGTCTCAAAAACGAACAAACAAAAAAACAAAAAAAAAAACCTCTGAAGAATTTTTCTTCTACCCACCACCAATCAATCAGCCAATGATGCTATTTATGTCAATTCTAATAAGGTAGATAGTCTATACAAATCTTGGCTCATAAGGATACGTAGTTTCAAACTCAACACCGAAGAACTGATCAATTAAACTTTTCTTTTTAGAAGGTGTCGCTGCCGATGCAGATGAAGAGTCTGTCTGCAAAAAATTAAAATAAAAATTCCAACTTTATATAAATATTAATGTATATTTTCTTCCACACAATTCAGTTTAGTAATACATATTTAAGTTTTTAAAATATAGTCCCTTAATGTAAAATCCTTCAAAAAACATTACAAAAAATCACCAATGAATTAAGTTTAATAAATAATACATTAAATGTAAATGTCGTATGCAAGCTTCCAAATTCTGACTACAGATTGAGCATCTAAAGTATTTAAATACACATCTACCCATTAAGATGAACATATTTTAAGCCTTTGCGGGGAAAAAAATTAAAGAATCAAGATATAATGAAAGTCTATAATCACAAATATATTTCAATTACCTCTTTAACAGAATCATCCTCTATGGCTTCCAATTTCTGTTGCAATACTCGCATCATTTGTATCCAACATTCATTAGCATCCTGTAATGTAAAAAAAGACAAAGTAAGTAATCCTGGCAGTGAATGATCTACAAAATTCTTCCAAAATAATCGCTGTCTCCTAGGCAAGAGAGTGGTTTCCTTCTTTAAAAATATTAAGCCAAATAAGAGATATGATCTTCCAAAAAATAATTCTAGAATAGCTTATTCATTCAACAGACATCTGCTGAGCTCCAATTTGTGCTAAACACTGTACTAGATACTCAGCATAATAGCAGTGAAAATATAAAATTCAAGTAGAGATAAGGGTTATGAAGCGAAAAAAAAGCAGGATGGAAACAGTAAGTGATCAGGGGAAGGGAAGTGTCCTATTTCCACAAGGTCATCAGGGAAAGCCTGAGGCTTTGCTCTTGGAGCCATGAGATCTGAAGGAGGTGAGAGAGCTGGTCTTGCACTTGTCTGACAGCCAAAGGAACAAGAGCAAAGGCCCTGCAGGAAGAGGGCACTTGAAGGGTTTAAGGAAGCCTGTGCAGCTGGAGAGAGGCAAGCAACGGGCAGAGTGGTAGTGATGAACTCAGAGAAAAAGCCAGGGGCTAGAGGATTTAGGACTGCGGTAGAAATCACTAGGGAGTACTGAACAAGGGGCCAACATAATCCTATCTTCATTTTAAAAAGGACACCATGGGCTGTGTAGAGAAACTGCAAAGGGGCAAAGGCAGAAGCCAGATGATCAGTTAAGACTACTGTTGAGGTTCCAGGCAAGAGACAGCTCTGGCATGAACTAGAGAAGACTGATGTTTATATTTCGAACTATGTTCCAATAGGTATGGTAAATGTAGGAAACCTAAGTTTTACATTTACAGAATGTAAAATACCTTGCCCTAATTACCTGTTGAAGATACTGTCCTTGTTCACCCTTCTCGGCAAACTGTGGGAAAGCCATGTGCAAAAACTGCAGTAGAATAATAGGTGGAATACTGGAAGAAGTTTTATCCATGGAATCAAACAAATCTCTAAGGGCTTAAAGACAAAGCAAACAATGCCTTAGTAAAATAGTCACATACTTAATACATGCGACTGTAAATTAATTTTAATTAATACAAACAAAAACCTACTTAATTTTTTTTTTTTTTTTGAGACGGAGTCTAGCTCTATATTCCCCAGGCTGGAGTGCAGCGGCACGATCTCGGCTCACTGCAACCTCCACCTTCTGGGTTCAAGCAGTTCTCCTGCCTCAGCCTCCTGAGTGGCTGGGATTACAGGAGCATGCCACCATGCCTGGCTAATTTTTGCATTTTTTTAAGTAGAGACAGGGTTTCACCATGTTGGCCAGGCTGGTCTCAAACTCCTGACCTTGTGATCTCTCCACTTCAGCCTGGGATTACAGGTGTGAGCCACCACACCCAGCCGCTTAAATATTTTTAAGTGTATCTACTCTGACAATTGTTGGACTCTCAACAAGAAAAAAAGAAATCATTTTTAAATCTTAAAGAATTCACCAGAAGACCTTACAAAGCAATCACTAGTTGTAAACAACTTCAGAGCCCTGCCTCTCTCTTTCTTCTTGCCAGCCTTTGTCTTCCTAAACAAAGCAGGGTGTTTTAATTCAGTACAAAGAACACATAACCTCTGTGTAGGGACCAAACAGGCATAATGTAATCGTTCTGCTACTCTGCCAAGATCAGGATAGCAGGTCACCTCTCCCCACTTACCTCCCTTTAAATCTATAATTGGTTCTCATCTACTCAACTCCTGGAGATTTAAATCTGGGTCCTTAAACAGCTGACTCTACTGGACAGCTAAGAACCAAAATTACTAATAATTTACCTTCTTCAGAAAACCTTCTTTCCACTTAACCCCTCTCAGCAGCATGAATCTCACAGTCATGGACTAGTCTGTTCTCTTGGAGTTCGAACCATTTCTCCTCTGCTGACTTCCTAGTGATCAGACCTTGCTCTGCTTCATGTACAGCAAAACTCTTCCTCTAGCTTACCTCAACTTGTATGTTTTATTAATACCCAACATGTGAAATGTCACCTATCATTATTATACAGACTGAACCCACCAAATACCACAGCATCTTAGCACAAAGCAGGGGCTCAAAAAAATGTTACTGAATAACAAAACTGAACACAATGTTTAAAAAATATTTTTGGAGGGAAGGCTGAAATTTAGGCATCACTACTAAGCTAATTATTTTTTTAAATAAAAGCCTACATTTTAATAATACTTTATATACTACTCAAAAACAAACAGATGATTTAAGATCTAGTATATACCATCAACAGAGCATCTCAAAAGTATTTCATCAGTTTAAAAGAAAAAGGTCAAGAAGAAAAGTAGATTAAAAGATACTAGTAAGACATAACAACTAAATGCAATGTGGGATCTTAAATTGAATCCTGAAGCAGGAAAAAAAATTTTTAATGGACAATACTAGGATAGCTGGCAAAATCTGAATAAAGACTGTATTTTAGAGTACTGTGTGAAACTCCCAAATTCTAAAAGAAAAGTTTGTTTTTTGAGACAGTGTCGCAGTCTGTTGCCCAGGCTGAAGTACAGTAGCACAATCTCAGCTAACTGTAATCTCCGCCTCCCAGGTTCAAGTTATTCTTGTGCCTCAGCCTCCTGAGTAGCTGGGATTACAGACATGTACCAACACAGCCGGCTAATTTTTGTATTTTTCGTAGAGACGGGGTTTCACCATGTTGGCCAGCCTGGTCTCAAATCCCTGGCCTTAAGTCATCTGCCCGCCTCAGCCTCCCAAAGTGCTGGGATTACAGGCATGAGCCACAGCACCCAGCCCAGATTCTGAAAATTAAGAATTATCTTGTGGTTATGAATGTCCTTATTGTTAGGAAATACATACTGAAGTATTCAGGAATAAAACACCTGATGTCTGGCACCTTATTGTAAAATGGTTCAGAAAAAAATTACATGAATAACGGAAAAACGAGAAACCAAATGCAATTAAAAGTTAGTAACTGGTGAATTCTTACAACTTTTCTGTAAATTTAGATGTATTTCAAAACAAGAAGTTAAAAAGTCAAGAAGCAAAAATGTAAAGAACAGTATTTTTCATCGCACCAATACTATTAGCTGCATATATGATGCTGGAGAAGCTGCTGAAATTCTAAATTATTCTAAGATACATAAGCTGTCAAATGAAGTAGCTATAAACGATCACACTTTCTCATTAAAAACTTCAACAAGTAAGTCTACTTTAGGAAAAAAGGTTAGAGTAAAATCTCTCTAACTGCAAATGACACAAAAGAAACCTGTTTATAATATCAAAAATCAATGGTTGACAACAGTGAGATAACACTTCATACTTCTTGGATGGCTACAATCAAAAAGACATATAATACTAAGTGTTGGTAAGGACACGGAGAAATCCGAACCCTTATACCCTTCTGGGGGAAATGTAAAATGGTGCAGCTCCTTTGGAAAATTCTGGCAGTTCCTCAAAAGGTTAAATACAGTAACCATATGACCCAGCAATTAATTCCACTCCTAGATACATACCAAAGAGAAATGAAAGCATTTGTCCACACCAAAACTTGTACACGAATGTCAGGAGTATTTGTAATAGTCAAAAAGTAGAAACAACCCAAATATCCATCAATGATGAATGGATAAATGATATGTGGCATGTCCATACAAGGCACTCTTATTTAGCAATAAAAAAGAATGAAGTACTGATACATGCCACAATATGGATGAATTCTGAAAACATTATACTAAGTGAAAGACACCAGTCACAAGAGACTACACATTATCTAATTCCATTTAGTACAAAAGTCCAGAGTAGGCAAATCTAGAGAGAAGGAACACACAGACAAATGTTTGGGTAGGGCTAGAAACGGGAAAGGAGGTGACTGCTAGATGTTATGAAGTTGCTTTTTGGGATGATAATGTTCTAAAGTTAACATTTTAGTAAAATTTGCACAACTCTGTGGATAAACTAAAAAACAATGAATTATACACTTTAAATGGGCAGAATTTATGATATGTACACTATATCAATAAAGCCATTAGAGAGAGAGTTAAAAAAAAAAAAAAAGGCATGGCTGTAAAACCCTATTGACCTAACCCAAAGACTTAACAGTATTAAAATGTCCAAAATTACGTGAGGGGTATATTCTCTTATGCAATGAAGAAACCAGTTATTTCTATCCTTTAAGATTACTATTTCTCCTCATACACATCACTTCTTTACACCAATACTCACTAAGACCCTCTTTTATAATGATGCATTGATTGTGATAAAACCCGTCGCTGGCTCTCCCCAGTCAACCCCAAAGATATATTACACAAATCAAACCTGAAGCCAAAATCATAATTTAACCAAAAAAATCCAAAGATTATTTTTCACAAAGGACAGACATCACTGATTTATAATCTGGATGATAAAATAAGTACCAAGTTGCTTAACTTAAGTATAACGTACACTCCAAGCTTAATGAGGTGATGTTTTACAAAAGACATTCTGGAAACTGCAAAGGATTTTGAGTGAAAAATAAAATGTCTTACTCCTATTAAAAAGTTGTATATTTAGAATACAAACCTGCAGTAATATACTGCGCTGAAGCCATTTCCCCTGAAGCTCTTAAGGCACCTGCATACCTAGGAACATTAAAGCAGAGTTAAATAATAGAATTCAATTCATTCTAACACTCAATGGGAAGCAGCCAGTTAAAAGGAGTTATTACGACACCCTCAACTGCAAGTCCCGCGGAGTTGTTCCCACCTTTCCTTTTCTTCTCTCCTGGTCTTGCATTATATGGAGAAAAAAAGGAATGCTGAAAAGGGAATTTAGATGGAGCCTACTTTAAGCTCTTTCCCTTTGTCAAACGCATATAAAACAAACATTTTATTTTATTTTTTATTTTTTGAGACAGAGTTTTGCTCTTGTTGCCCAGGTTGGAGTGCAATGGCAAGATCTCGACTCACTGCAACCTCTACCTCTTGGGTTCAAGCAATTCTCCTGCCTCAGCCTCCCGAGTAGCTGGGATTACAGGCGCACGCCACTATGCCCAGCTAATTTTTTTATTTCTAGTAGAGACAGGGTTTCACCATGTTGGCCAGGTGGTCTCGAACTCCTGACCTCAGGTGATCCACCCACCTCAGCCTCCCAAAGTGCCGGGATTACAGGCATGAGCCACTGCACCCGGCTAAAACAAGCATTTTCTCAAAGTACTGTGAAACAAAACTATCCATTAATTACAAAGAAAATAAAATAACACAATCTCTGAAATAACTTGGAAGAAATAAGCATTAGATCAAAAACATTCAGCATTAGCTTGCTGTGTATCGTTAAATAGGTCACTTAAGGTTTTAGGTCAGTTTGCTCATCTGTAAACTGAGGAGCTTCTATTAAATGATTTCTAAATTCACTTTCAGCTTTATGATCCTCACTTAATTTACAAACTGGCCATGCAAAGGAAATATTCAAACCGCAGTCGTTACTCACACAAAGTCTTATGACAAAAGCTCAGAAATTATCATTCAGTTAATATCAAACATTGAAGTAGGAGGGAGACTGCATATGCACTATGATTAAACTATGTGTACACACTATACACCCATTAGAGTGATTAAAATTAAAATAAAAAAAAAACTAGTATCACCCAATATTGGCAAGAATGTGGAGCAATCAGAATTACTGATCTAGTCAATAGTAATATGAATGGATCTCCAAGCTAGATACTGAGTGAAACAAGCCAGAACAAAAGAAAAGCACAACCTGTAGGATTCCATTTATTTTACGTTTCAGAATGTGCAAACTAATACGAAATCAGTAGTTGCTGGAAGTGGGTGGAGAGGATAAGGATTAACTGAGAAAAGGCACACACAAGAATTTTCTGAGATGATAGAAATGTTCTATACTTTGACAGGCAAATGGATTACAGAGAATTTGCATTTGTCAAAACTGATCAAACCAAACACTTAAGATATATGCATTTCACTAGATGGGAATTATATCTCAATTTAAAAAGCAAAACCTCTATGCTTAGGTAGTATGAAAGAAATCACAGAAAGTATTGTGTTAAATTGTATTCAACTGAAGGGTTTTGTTTTTCTCTTTTTCATTTGTTTGCATCTTTCGGAAACTGCTGTGACTAAACAAACTTTCTTAATTTTTCAATAAACAATAATTCACAATAATGCCTGAATTATGTGTGTTAATTTTTAAAAACCTGAAAATCATTAAATTTCCCTGTTAAGACATTTTAGCAACTTCTTGAAAGGCATTTTTGAAATTAAAATGAAGTACTAATATAGCAGACATATCCCAGAACATCACTTGGGAATGTAATTAGCTATATAATTGCTGCTGTTACTGAATTTTACTTCTTGTTATAGGGTAACATGAATATGTAACTATTTCTACATTTATGGCAAAGATAACTAATGAATTATCAACCTTTTTTTGTAACTAAGAAAAGTCATATGTAATTTAATATCCAGAAAACACTTCCCATATTAGAGCAATAAAATGTAATTCCTAATTAATGTAAAACCATCTATTAAGCCAAATAACATTAACACTGAAGTTTATAAAGAAAAACTTAGAAAAAGAGAAACTGACAGAAATACTGAGAGGTTTTACAGTCAAAAGTACTGAGAATCTTATCTCTGTCAAGTTGATATATAAAAAGTACTGACATAAAAAATCTGAACATAATAAAATTAACCTAATGTCTATTATACTTTGACACCTACAAAGAGAGGACATTTTGACTTTTCTAGTCCCCATAAAATATTCAATCATACATCAGATCAAAAAGACAAACTCAAATTTCCAAAATAGGCCAAATCCTTACCCATGGTGAAATAAAATACATTTATAACATATGCTTTCATATATGCGTTTCTAAATCCACTGGCTAAGTAACTTGGCTTAAACTCTTGGGGGTGGATGTGGAACATATGAAAAGCACATATAATGCTAATGAAAATACAAATTGGTATCTCCGTTTATGAAACTGGTTGGCAAAACATATCAAAACTGAATATATACATCCCTTTATGACCCAGCAGTTTCACTCATATATATTTTGTGCATATGCATACATACTCATATACACCCAACAGAAGCAAATGCATGTGCCCAAAAATGTACTAGAATATTCAGAGCATATTTTTTCATAATCACCAAAAACTGAACATAAACCAAATATTTATCGACAGAAGAATGGATGACAAATTGGTAGTATAGCACACAATGGAATACTATACAGCATGAATAGAAATGAACCACCAATACACAGAACATGGATACACTAAACATCACGAGCCAGACCCATTAGCCAGTCATCAGTCAGACAAATGGGCCCAGTTTGTACACTTCTTTCACAAAGAGTTCAAAATTGGTAAACTGATCTATGAGATCAGAAGTCAGGATAGTATTTCCAATTTGGAAAACATAAACAGTGGTAGTGATTAAGATCTGTGAGGGGATTTTTAGAGTGCTGGAAGGGTTCTGCCTTTATTTTGGGTACATGGATGTGTTCACCCTGGGACAATTCATTGAGCTGTACACTTACAATTTGTATACTTTCTGCATGTTATAATTCAATAATCAAAAATAAATGGGCCAGGCGTGGTGGCTCATGCCTGTAATCCCAGCACTTGGGAGGCCGAGGCAGATGGATCACGAGGTCAAGAGATCGAGACCATCCTGGCCAACATGATGACACACTGTCTCTAATAAAAATACAAAAACCAGCTGGGTGTTCTGACACGTGCCTGTAGTAGTCCCAGCTACTCATGAGGCTGAGGCAGGAGAATCACCTGAACCCAGGAGGCGGAGGTTGCAGTGAGCCGAGATCGTGCTACTGCACTCTGGCCTGGAGGTAGAGTGAGACTGTCTCAAAAAAACAAAAAAGAAAAACTGGGCTAAAAGGAAAAGATAACAGACTTTCTAGTGGTTTTTGTTAACATTTGAACAGCCTCATCTAACAAACAGAGAACAAGCAAAATCTCAGAACTAAATGTTTTCATTACTACACAAGAGTAAGTAAACAATCCAAATATGAAACTTTAAGTTAGAAAATAGACAATAAAACAAGCCTAAGGTAAACAGAAATAAGAAAAAGATAATACAAAAAGTAGGATGAATCAGACAAATCAAAAAATTGAATGAACAAATCTAATAGCCAATTCTTTGAAAGCTAAAATGCAAATCTCTAGCAAGATAACACAAACAAAGGGAGGAAAACACAAATAAAACAAATAAAAAATAAAAATACAAAAAAAAAAATACAGGTCCAATGGTAGAATAACTCTTAAGCTGAAATAATTTAAAGACGGGACAATTTTGTAGGAAAATATAAATTCCCAAAACTAACTTTAGAAGAGAATAAGTACATTTAAAATACCCCAAAGGCCGAGCACGGTGACTCGCGCCTGTAATCTCAGCCCTTTGGGAGACCAAGGCCGGGGCATCACCTGAGGTCAGAGGTTTGAGACCATCCTGGCCAACATGGTGAAACCACATCTCTACTAAAAATACAAAAAATTAGCTGGGCGTAGTGGCGGATGCCTGTAATCCTAGCTGCTTGGGAGGCTGAGGCAGGAGAACCGCTTGAACCCGGGAGGCGGAGGTTGCAGTGAGCCGAGATCACGCCACTGCACTCCAGCCTAGGCGACAGAGCGAGACTGTCTCAAAATAAAATAAAATAAAATAAAATACCCCAAAAAAGCTGAGTGCAGCCAATTTCATGGGCAAGTCTTTCAGCAGCAGATCAGTCCTATAAAAATATGAAAGAAAACAAAAGTTCCAGGAAAAGACGGACATAGAACTAGCATAACTCTAACACCAAACCCTCACAAATCAAATAAATAAATAAATAAATAAACAGCCAGAGGGAGACAGAATGTTATACATCAGTCTTAGTAACAAATGACCCCAAACATCCTTTTAAGATGTTCCAGCAAATTAAATTCAGCACTATATATTGAAAGAATACGAATGCATCAGGAATATAGTCTATTAGGCTAACTATTAACCTAATGTATCACAAATAGATCCAGTAAGAAAAATCTTAGAATTAGGTCAACAAACAACATTTGACAATTTTAACATATATTTCTTATTTTTAAAACATCTCCAGTAAACAAATGATGGAGGAATACTTTCTTAACATTCTTAAGAATATTTCCACCAAACCTGAGGGGAGGACAAGAAGGAAAAAAAAAAAGAAAAAAAGAATATTTCCACCACATGCAAGGTCAATATTTAACCCTAAAACACAACAATCTTATTAAAATCAAAAACAGGAGAATTCCACAACCATCTACTATTTAACACTATGTTAAAAGTTCTAGCCAGTGAAACACAAAAGAAACACGAAGTAAACTGCCTGAAACAGACAATACTAACCTGAGTAATGGATTTGATTACCTATTTAGAAAATCCAAATATTAATAGAAAATAGGTCTTATTTCCTCATAAATATAAATATCATAAATAAATCATAATCATAAGTATCATAAATAAAATGTGTTTTCAGGGTAAATAAATGTGTTTTCAAGGTAAATAAAAGTATATTAAAATTTTCAAAGAATATAAGGACTATTTCAGTATTAGGGGAAAGTACACCTTGGAACCATGGAAATCT